CCTTTCTCCTATTTAGGATATGACCCAGATCCTGGGAGCCGTTTCCTTTTGGTATGTGTGAAGCTGGAATTGGCCTCCCATGACCTGAGATCTGACTTAGTGAAGATTCGGCCTTGGCAGTCATTCCAAATCTTTCATCCACTTTGAGCTGGAAAGTCCCCGTGTAGTTGCTGTTGCGCTGAAGCATGTGAAGTGGGGAGGCCAGGTGGGCCCTGGCCAGCCAGCCTGACCCCTCTGCTTATCCTCTCACTCGCCGAACCCACATCTGTTGGCTGTTTTTACCTCTGCGCTCCTATAGCCCTTGCTCCCATGTGCCCTTCTGTTCGTTGAAAGGGGGAGGGTCCATGGGACGAGGGGAGGCCCTGTGTCTGTCACTGTGTTACAGCCACTGCCTGGGTCTCCTCCACTCTTCCTTCCTTTGATATCGTAGTTTATCATCACCACCTGGTTAATCGAGCACATAGCCCCTTGCTTCTCACAGAGAACCGAGTGTGCTGGTTTGGTTGATTTTTTTTTTTTTTCCCATGGTGTTTTGAGGTTATGGGCTGGGAATGTTAAGCATATTTTGGCAGTTGGTGAGTTTTGGTACTTGCCGAGTATCCTCTGAAGTGCCACCTTCCCTTTGGGAAAACGGAACCTCCATGGGGACTCAGCCGTAAAAGCAATGTCCTGCAATGCCCTTGTTGCTCAAAGCTCTGGGTGAGTCTAGCTCCATGTGGACATGGACCCAGTGGGTGTAGGAAGACCGAAACAGTAAGGCAACTCTATTCCTTCCACCTCAAGTCTTAAAAATCTCCAGTGGGACCCTTCTAACAGTTTTCATGAAAAAGCATCCTTTCTCTGGGAGACTGATGTGTGAATGATCTGAATAGTTCTGAGAGCCTCTCATTTCTTTTTTATTGATTGTGGCCAAGCCCAGAATTAAGTCAACGTTTCTCCTCCCCAAAGCCCCAAACTCTGGGTTTGGGCTGCCAAGTTCTGTTGCTTGATGATCTATTAGTCCACAGAGCTTATAGAAACCCCAGAGAAATAACTCTGGAAGGAGGACGGAATGTCGTTGAAAATGCCAGATTCTGTGCTTTAAGTTGCTTTCATGTAGTTCTGTGTCCCTCATCTTGAAAATTATAGTGGGGAGGAGATAATGGTGAGGTGTCCCAAAGGGGAAAGTAGAACAGGACTCTGGAAACACTCCTCCCTTTTCTTTCTTCTCTTCACATCATAAATCCAGGAAGAGCATCATAGTCTTCTGAATTAATGCTGTCCTCCTTGGATTCAGATCTTGGTTCCACGGCTTACTAGCTGTGTAACATTGGACAGGTTGCCTAATGTCTCCGAATTTCAGTTACTTCATTTGCAAACTATTACCTATCTCATAGAATTTTCTTTAAAGCTGGCTAGGCTAACTCCATATTCCTCCAGAAAGTCTTCCTTGACTACCCTAGGTGGAGCTGCCCTTCTGTGTACTCCGATAGTACCACCGCGTGCATGAGCCGTAACACGTGAGACATCATGCTGAAATGATTCCTGTGCAGGACTGTCTCTTCTGTGACTCGCCTACAGCTCTTTAAGAGTAGAGAGTGTTTTAATCTGCTTTGTTTCCCAAGGTTTTAGTAGAATTTCTGGCAAACAGTATGGTGTGGTTTTTTTTTGGTTTTGTTTTTGTTTTGTTTTGTTTTTTAAAGCACAGCAAGAGAGGGAACACAAGCAGGGGGAGTGGGAGAGGGAGAAGCAGGCTTCCCGCAGAGCAGGGAGATGGATGTGGGGCTCGATCCCAGGACCCCAGGATCATTACCTGAGCCGAAGGCAGATGCTTAACAACTGAGCCACCCAGGTGCCCCAAATAGTATGGTTTTTACCCGCTAAAAACAGACATCACTTCTTGAGTGTTTCTCTCCGTGAGTGTGTTTGTTCACTCTACCTGGAAATTGCTTGTATCTGAATTGATGAGCATTAATTGTTTGTTTCCCTGAAGTGACCATTCTTATTCTATTCTTTGTTCCCTGTCTAAAAGATATACTGGTTTTTATTCTTTATCTGTGGAGTTCCCCAAAACTTTATACTTGGGGAGTGGTTTCCATTTATTTCACTTTCTTATTTGCTTTCTGTTTAAGGGTATTTGTCAAAAATACATGACGAGAAGGAAAGAATCAAATGATATAGTCAGGGGATCCTTAGCCTTCTTATGTTTATCATGTTGGGTTTTGATGAGGGGAAGGAGCAAGAGAGGACAGAGAGACTGATGTTTGCAAATGTTGAACTGGCGCAGTTAGAACCCGGGGCGGGGGGGCAGATTTGGAGGATGCTGCGGCAGCATCCACCTGCTGTGCTCCCTGTCTCTTTTTTGCTATTACCTGGAGTCCACATATTTCCTAATCTTCCACATGCCCTGATCTTGCACCATAGCTTACACTTTGGAGGCCCTGAGCTCAGTGTTGGAGAATGGACCAGGGGTGTATAAAATGCCCCGACTAGGATTGCAAAAACTAGGTTGGGTGGGCATCGCACAGGGCCCTAGGGAGCCCAAGGGTTCGTGCTGTGACCCCATCATTAGACGTTTTATAGATGAACGTGCCCTGGGTCTTGCTTTTTAGTAAAGATTGTCTAGTAAATTTGAAAGATGCTGTTTGGTGGAAGATCCAGATAAATCTTGACAGATGTACTAAGACTTTATTCTGTGACTTCCTGGACTCATAAAAAGTTCTGTCTAATGACAATATGGAGAGTTCCAGAACATTGTACACAACAAAAGTGCCAGGCTTCCACAAGATTTTCTGCGTACCTGTCGTGTCACAAAAATTACTGACTCAGTATTCCTACCCCTTTCCTTTAGTCCTTCATTACAGAGATTCTGGCTTTCCCCTGACAGACCACCTGTCACCCAACACTGGATTGGTATGATATTGCCTGCCAAAACCCAGTGTCATCTCTTAGAGCTTAGAATGTCACCAAAGGCCACATGGGCTCTGTTCCCACCCCGGTCTCTTCCTCTCCTCTACCACTTTAAGAATACTGCCACTAGCAGATCTAGTAATACCAACCTGCCGTTACAGGTCATTGTACCTTAACTGTTGCTATTCCCTCTACCCAGAATTCCCTTCCCATCTTTGTCAAGTAACTCTTATTCGCAACCCAGAGCAAATGGATACAACATACCTGCACAAAAATACATACAAACTGGTGCTAAGAATGTTACTGACATCAGTTATAGCACTTAACTTGTATTTGCTAGATACTGCCCATGTGCTGGGTTTACGTAAAAGAGGAAGATGACAGGTTTGGGGCCCGTGCAGTTGGTACACACACGTACTTGTGCATATATGTATATAATTTCATCCCATATTCATATTAATCCTAGGAGTTGGGGGCTGTCCTCATTTATAGATCAGGAAAATGAACTCTCAGTAGTTATGAAATTTTCCTAAGATCCCTCAGCTGGTCACTGGCAGAGCCAGGTGTCTAGCTTGGATTTGTCTGACTCTAAATCTAAACCTACATCACATTACAGGGAAGACATACAGTAAAGAATAAATACAATGGGCCTCTTCTAACCAAATTTGGGATAAAAAAGCACATCAAAAAGAATAATGCTGGGTATTCAGGAGGGCACCTATTATGATGAGCACTGGGTGTTATACGCAACTACTGAATCGTTGGACACTGCATCAGAAACTAATGATGTGCTGTATGCTGGCTAACTGAACATAATAAAAAAAAGCATAATGATGAAGGAGATAAGGAGGGAGACAGGGAAATTTCTAGAATAAAGGGGATTAAGAAAACATGGCAAATACAACACTTAAGTTTTTCAGAATCCATGAATCCTGGTTTTTGAGAGAGAGAGAAATGGGAAAAGTTCTTTACAAAGAATGACAGTGGTGAAGGAATGATAAAATTTTTAAAATCCCCATTCATCAATGGGTACTAAAATCTCTGGATGAAAGGATAATCCCATGGTTTCTACGTATCACCCCATGGATTACTTATTAATTACAAAGGGAGAAATATCTCTTTACAGCAGAAAGATCGTTGGGTACCACTTTAACCAAGCAGTCAAGCTTTTGTCACCAAGAATGAGGCAACCCAGGCGCCTGGGTGGCTCAGTTAAGCAACTGCCTTCGGCTCAGGTCATGATCCCAGGGTCTTGGGATCGAGCCCCGCGTCTGGCTCCCTGCTCAGCGGGGAGCCTGCTTCTCCCTCTGCCCCTCCCCCCTACTGGTGCTCCCTCTGTCTGTCTGACTCTCTCTCTCTCTGTCTCAAAAATAAATATATAAATAAAAATGAAAAAAAGTTTAAAAAAGATGAGGCAACCCGACTATATTCCTCCTGTGTGCAGTGGAAGGGGCGCAGCCTCACCCACATGGTGTTCTTACTAAATAGGAAGTATTTACCATGAATCTAATCATGAGGAGACAGACAAATCCACAATGTGACAAGTTCTGCAAACAACTAGCCTGGACACGTCTGTGGATCAGCCAAGAGCAGTGCATGAAACTTGACTGGGTCCTGGGCCATCAGGGGGCCGGCAGTGGGCAGGACTCCCCTTCTCAGTGACTGCTGAGGGGGGCTTGGTCAGCGAGAAGCGCCTCCTTAGGGTCCGACCCAAGTCCCCTTTGCTCCTCCTCCCCAGTCACCACCACCTCTTCCCTCCACTGTGCACGGGTTCAGGGATGACAGAGGAGGGTAAGCCTGTGTTCCCCTCTCAGGGCAGATGGGCTGTCTTCCTGTTTCTCAGGCTCAAGGAAGGGTTGCTGCTCTCACTGCGCAGCCCCTTCCTGGCCTCTATGATCTCATCAACTTGCAGTCTGCCCCTTGGCTGGCTCTCTGGCCTTCATGGAAGCTCTGTCCCTCCTTTTATTGAGATGAGTGGCGACTACCTTGGATGCTTAGATATCCTTCTGTCGGCGCCTCCCCCCTCCCTGCATACCTCCTCCATCCCTCCACCACCTATGGTTATTTGCCATCATTTGTCATAGAACTTTGAGGCTTTGCTTGTCTTGCAGGTTCAAGCGTGAATGGCCTCGAAGAGCCTAGCATTGCCAAGCGACTCAGGGGCACTCCTGAACGGATTGAGCTGGAGAACTACCGCCTGTCTGTGAAACAGGCCGAGGAGCTGGAGGAGGTGCCCGAGGAGACGCAGGCTGAGCACAACCTGAGCAGTGTGCTGGACAAAGGCGCAGAGGAGGATGTGGCCAGCAGGTCAGCCTGTGTCCCGGGGCTGTAGCCCCGTTTTCCTGTGTTCTGCTTCATGCCTGTGCTTTGTCCTGGCAGCCCCTTCCCCAGATGAATATACCGTCCTAGTGGGGGGAGGCAGCCCTGTACCCTTGGCATGGGACCTGGGTGCCACCTACCAGCTGTGTGACACTAGGCAAGTCATGTAACCTCTATGTGCCTCCATTTCCTCATCTGTGACATGAAGGCCATACTAGGACTTTCCTCCCAGAATTAGTGTGAGGGTTAAATAGCAAGAAACATTTAAAACAGTACGTGGCGTGCATGTCGATGACGATTGCCTTTAGTACTTCTTAGCATGGCCCCGGACCATTCCCAAAGGACTTCCGTGTCCATCACCTCACTTGATCGTCCGCGAAGGAGGCCTGTGAAGTAGACCAGAGCCTATATCTTATCACTCTGTAATTACGGAAACTGCTGGTGACTAATACTAGGATCATAGATTGACTGACTCAGACTCAGGTTTCCTGGATCCAAGTCCAGGATGCTTCCTGTTTTCCCTACTGCCTGCTGATCTTCCCCTTTCCATGCAATTCCCTGTCTCTTCATCTCGTTAGCCAGTAAGAATCACAACCCATGGGACGTAATTCAGAGATTTCAGTTAAGTATTTCTTGGACACCTACCATGGCCTTAACACTTTGTCATTTGTTGAAAAGGTAACAGAACAAAAATGACAGTCCCGGGTCCTGCCCTCAGGTTGTTGTTGACAGGTGTACTGGAGGGACAAGACATGCGCAGAGAGACAACAGGGGGCCTGAAGCAGTGTGCTGTGGGGGGCGAGCAGGTCAGCGGTAGGAGCTTCAGGGTTGGAATTAGGGGCTCCTGTTACGACACCAGTTCGCCCCGCAGTCTTGGGGAAGCCACCTCACCTGTCCAGGCTTCTTTCTTCCTCCTCTAGGTAAAGAGAGGAGCAGAAAACCTGCGTCTCAGGGGCCACACACACAGCCAGTGGTTTTGTGCATGGCCATGCCAGTGTTTTAATGATGTCTCACTGAGTGATGTCTGAGGGGGACGTGCGCCCTCCAGCCCCCACAGGACTCCCTGAGTCCACTGTCTTTTCCCCAGGACCTTATGTTCATTACTGCCCAGGTCTGCCAGGGTCAGTACAGGATTCAGAGTGCTCCATGGAAGATGATCAAGGCCACCAAAAGAGAACAAGATGAAAGAGGGAGTAAAATCACTATTGGTCAGACTGTCCTGCAGGGCTTCTGGCGTGGGAGCATGTACTGTGTCTCCCAGACTGGTGGAGGCTTTGCATTAACGCTGAGGCACACACTGGATGCTTCATTGTAGCCAAGATTTGCATTTCTAAAAAGTTCCCAGGTGGTCCTATTGTCTAGAGACCACACTTTTTGAACCACTGCTCTAAATTTCCCTGATGGTAAGGGCCACCTGGGACACTTGGTAAAAAGGTAAATCCTGGACCCTCCCCTGGAGTAGCTGAGTTGGTGGGCTTGGGGTGGAGACCAGGAGTACCTATTTTGAACAAACACCTTGCGTGAGTCTTATGGGTGTCCTGATTTAGTTTACCCAAGCAGAGACTACTGGCCCAGACCTAATTAGCTCCATGACCCTTCCTTGGAGTGGGGGAGGGAGGAGCATCTTCCAAAAGAGACCCTGGATATTGTACTTTTATTTTCTCTGGGAGAGAACAGGTGCCTGAAGACAAAAGAAAACTAGCTTTTTTTTTTTTAAGATTTTATTTATTTATTTGAGAGAGAGAGAGAGAGAGGGAGAGCGCAGAGTGAGAGGGAGAAGCAGACTCCCTGCTGAGCAGAGAGCACAGTGTGGGACTCAGTCCCAGGACCCTGAGATCATGACCTGAGCCGAAGGCAGACGCTTAACAGACTGAGCCACCCAGGCATCGTGAAAACTAGCTTTATGATTTTAGTTTTGTTTTCCCGATTGCCTAGCCGGGCAACTTTGCCCCAGGCAATGAAGATGGCTTGGGCAGCACCCATCTGCTAAGGGTCTCCAGTGTTTGCACATCCCTGACCCTGAAGAACAAGTCAGTGAGGGCTAGAGCAAACAGGTGCCCTTTCCAGATGGGGCAGCCAGGTCACAGAGGACTCTCCTAAAGTCCATGATGGGCTAGCCCGAAGGGGCTTGGTCTTCCATGGGAATAACACAATGAGGAGAAGCCCCTCTTTCAAGACTGACCATAAGCAAGTGGAAATTCCTGACTGGTCCTCTCTCTCTCCCTCACCCCTTTGCCAGCAGAGGCAGTAATGTGAGCCATTGCTGAGCAGGATGCCGCTTTCAGCACGTATTAAATTTCCAACATGCAATGATTGCTGGACAACATACATCTCCAGCAGTCTGCTGAACAGTATAGTGTTCACACAGTTGTCAGAGTGGATGAGATCTAGGAGTGGACTCTCTGATTATAGAGTGGATTCATTTAAAAATGAAAGCCATGATTCCCTATTTTCCCTTGAAAACCACCTGAGAACTTAAAGTGATATTTCACACAGCAGTCTGCCTCATTCACAGTAGGGTCTGCCCAAATTTACAGTCTCCACTTTCTGAAGTTGGACCCAGGCAGCAAGGAGACGGTCCTGGTCTTATTCCTGGGTTTGCCACCCTGACAGCTGCTAGTGGCTGAAGAACTCTTGGGTTCTTGGCAAACCATCCAAGAAGGCACAGTGTGACAATGGTGTGGACATCGGTGGGAATCCTGACTTCTCACACCAAGGATCCAACCTCTTTAAGCTTTGATGGTCTCATTTATAACAGTGGGGATATTAGTATGTCCTAGAGTCCTAGAGTTGTCGTGTCTTAGAGTTAATGTGTAATTAAGTGACCTAATTCATGTGAAGTGCCTTGTGCCGCGTGGCACTTCGTAGAGCTCAGTGAGTGTTCACTATCGCTGTTGTTATCATCCTTGGCCCTTCCCCTCCTGGCATGGCAGAACCTCTGCTTGGCCCATTTAAGTGTGGAGCAAATCTTGTTTTTTCAGGATCTAGTCCATGTGCCCTGCTGGTCTGGCTTCCTCCTACCAGGCCCAATCATAGCCTCAATGAGAGGAAACTCAGGGGAAGTGCTTTGAGATCAGTGACTGCATAAATATTGTAGCCCGGAAGATTTTTGCAAGATGTTCTTCTAACCGAAATGGTCTGCTCCTACTGATGGACTTCAGAGGTCTCATCTCCATGACCTCTGTGAATTTAGGCAGCAGCTTGCCCTGCCTTTGCCTGATTGTGCTCCCTTGCACATCCTTGCCTGTTTGGGCTGTGCAAGACCCCGTGGTAAGCCCTGCAGCGAGCCGAGCAGACCTGGCCCTGCTCTCAGAGAGCTCGCAGTCCAGGGGGAGGCCCCCCCACATCGAACAGCCACACACAGCGATAGATTGTTTCAAATGCAGAAACAGATACCTGTCGTGATGGAATGCTGACCTTGAGGACTACAATTTCTGGCCCTCATCTCTCCTAGGAGGCTATTAATTGAGAGGTCTCCCTCTCTTCCCAAAAGGACAGAGAAGTTGGTTGTCTGTGTTGTATTTTGTTCTGGTGTAGCGATTTTCCCCACTTAAAAACTTCCTAGGCTGACAACCAAGTGGCAGGGGGTGGTCTGCCTCACACTACATTCCTCCTCTGCTCCCTTCCTCCTAGCCTCTTCAAAGGCCAGACCCAAAAATTCAGGTACTGAAAACAGCCAGAAAATGTAGAATGAGCTTGAGTTACTGAATTTACACTGTGAATCTTGCATGAGGTAAGGAGCCTGGTGAGACTCGAAGGACAGCTCCAAGGTCGCAGGGAGATATGACCTGGGAAGGAACAGTTGGCAGCACCTGTTCATCTCTCTGTGCTTCATAAAGGGAGGGAGGCTGGTTTGCCTGTCTCAGATTTCCAGAAGCAGTGTAGCCAGGCCTCTCAGAAATGGACTGAGAGCTGGTAGCTTATGAAGAGAGGCAAGGGTTGACCTTTCCACCCGATTTTTTATGCTCTGTGCCTCACTTGCTATTTTCCCTTGGTCCTTGAGCTGTTGTAAAACTAGCCAGGGTGGCACTCGGAGCTCTAAGTGAGGCCCCATTGCCCTCATCATGGAGTATTCATTGCTCACATTATGTCCAGTGCTGCTGCCCTCGTGACAGGGCACACGGTACAAGGAGCGGAAAGCTTCAGTGAGGACTCCTTGAGCCTGCTGACTCCAGGGGTAACCTTGTGTGCCTGGCTGTGAAGGAAGGACAAGCTGGCCTGTCTTCTACCCACCTAAAGTTTTAACAAATTTACATAAGATTTAAGATGAGCATAGTAGTCATTCTTATCCTTATTTCATATTTGAAAGATGTTAGGTGATATACGCTGGATTACACGTTGTTGATAAGTAGTAAGAATGTAAACAAATGAAAACACAAAAGTAAGGCAAGAATAATACCTAAGTAAGTCATGAAAAACAGTCACAATCCAAATGCCAAGCTTTCCGTGGCCCAAATTCTTATGTTTACTCACCTTAAACTGCCTCCTCTCAACCCTCCATCCCACTGCAGTTGTGTTCTACCTTCTTTTGTCATTGTCGTGTGTGCATCTTATCTCCCCTTGAGAATAAGGATCTTTTCTATGTCACCTTTGTATCCTCTGCAGTGTCTAGGAAGTGCATTACAAGCAGAAGATGCTAAGCAAGTTTTCGTGGGTGGATGAATGAATGAGTGAATGTAGTAGTATTCACCAAAGGGAGCTGCCTGCAGTAAGGAGCCTGACCCTCTTTATTTTTGTACCTACTGGGTGAACTTTAATAGGTATTCAAAAATGTTCATTGAATGAATGAAGGAGCATGTAAATGAGTAAACAGATAAGGGAATAGCCTGAATCCCAGAGCGTAACACAAACATGAAAATCAGGAAAATCCCCAGCCTTCATTACATTTCTCCAAGGCAGGTATTAACATTGCCTCCTTACTGATAAGGATGCAGAAGCTCCGCAGAAGTAATCAGCTCAAGGTCATACAGCTGGTAAGGAGCAGAGCCAGTGTGGCCCTGTGAGAGTTGGCCACCTGAGAAGTCGTGGGCAGACAGCCTCCAGGACTGCCCTCCCTTCTAACTCGGCTGAAGTATGGGAGTTCCCAAAACCACCCTCAAATTCATTAATTTGTCAGAATTCACTAAAAGGTTTATACCCATGGTTATGGTTTAATTACAGGGAAGGATACTGATTGAAATCAGCCAGGTGAAAAAGTACACAGGGCAGAGGCCAAGAAAGTACAGGTGAGGACCTTCCATCATCCTCTCCCTACGGAGTCAGGGCAGTGTTACTTTCTTGGTATTAATGTGTGACAAAGTCCGTATAGTATTACTCACCCAAGCCTTGATGTTAAGAGATGTACTGGGGCTCCATTACCCAGGCGTTGATTGACTGATTGATTATCTACGTGGTGTGATTGATCTCAGTCTCCAGGCCAACTAATACTGCGTGACTCAAGCCTAAATTATTCGTCTTTCAGATGTGATCAGCCCTCACCCTAAATCACATTATTAGACTATCCACCATGACCTAGGGATTCCAGGGAAATAAAGACATTCCCATCAGGCAGGACCTCCGGGGGGCTTAGGGTTGACCTCCCAGGCCCCAAGACAAAGGCCAGGCCTCTCTTTGAGCAAGGTGGGATTCTTTATTGCGCAGGTACTAGTAGCGCTAGGAGTGGGGTGTCATTGACCTTCTCACACGGTATTCACTGGTTCCTTCTCCACGGGCACAACCCCACTCCAGGTAGGGAGAGAGCAGCCCACCATCACAGGAAGACAGGGCCGGACAACAACCCCGTGCGTGACGCTTCTGGGGTTTGGGGCTCTCTCGTGCCAGCAGTTGGGCCCTGCTGGATTGTAAAAGCCACATGTCCTCCAGCCCAGTCAACTACACATTTCTCACTGAGGGCAAAGCCTCTCCTGAAAAAGACTTCCAGGGAATTATCGGACCATAAAATAGGTCGAAGCTTCGTTGGTGTAGTGATGGTTCGGGTTTTTCTCCTGCTTTACAGCCCCACTGAGGGTACTGAATTTTATTCTTGTACCACTTATTGACTGCTCACTTTGCTGCGGGGGAGGAGGGTGAAGATGCTCTGGGGTGGTGGCTGCGAGTGTGGAGGTCTGTGATTTTGGCTTTTGCTTAAGTCACAGCTAGTGTCTCTGGCATTCAGAGCAGCTTCCCTTTTCAAGCTGAGCTCTGGGCTCTATGCCGTCAGGGAGAATGGTGGCAAACGTGGCTGGTTGTCAAAGGTGATGGCCCCAGGGATGCAGTATTTGTTTTCCCGCTCTCCCCATGGCCCCTGTTCTGCAACTTCAGCGAGCGGTGCCTTGGCTGCCCTGTTAACTGTGTATTCCTCATAGTGTCGCGCTCCAGGGCGCACGTCGGGGGGGCTTCAGGAACGTGGTGGGACTGAGTGCGTGGCCTTCACTCCAGCACACGCACCTCGATGGCCAGCCCGTCTGTGGCTAAAACTAGTTCAGGCCTCTTGGAGGCAGCTCTTTCTCACCGTGCTTCCCACCAGAGCTTTCCAGCCCACCTGAGTCAAGCAGATTTGAGTTCCTCAAATCAAACAGTAGATCACAAGGAAAGGAGACTTTGTCTCCATTCTTGATTCCTGGGGTCATGCGTTCATATCTGAATGCGTCCGTGCCCCCTACTGTCTCTGAGGGCCTCTAAAACTGAGCTCAGTGGAGTGCTGTTCACCGAAGAGAGGGCCCCACCAGACTGGGCTGTTGGCTCGTGTGGCTTCATGTAGGGGTTACGCGTACGTGTGTGTTTTCTCTGGCCCTCTCCTCGCTCTCCTTCCCCTCGTGTGTCTTCCCGAGGTGGGGAAGCGTGCTGCACCCTTCCGTGCCTGTCCTCTCTCCCTTCCTGCCCAGCAGTTGCTTTGCTGGGACATTTTGCCTCCATTTGTGGCTTTTAACCGTCTCCTCACTTGGTTGTGTGGTTGTTTCCCCCACAGCAGTTCTGAGTCTGAGATGGAGGAAGAGGAGGAAGAGGAGCCTCCTCTGCCCACCTCAGACCTGGGTGGCGTTCCTTGGAAGGAGGCTGTGAGGATCCATGCTCTTCTGAAAGGAAAGAGTGAAGAGGAACTAGAGGCCTCAAAGAGCTACGGGCCTGGGAACGAAGAGGAGGAGGAGGAGGAATATGAAGAGGAGGAAGAGGAGGAGGAGGAGGAAGAATATGAGGAGGAGGAGGAAGAGTCTAGTGAAGGTCAGAAAAAAGTCTCTTCTCCTAACTCTGACCCTGTCCCATCCCTGAGGCAGTCTGTTCCACGCCTGAGTAAGGTTTCTGTGGCTGGAGTCACACAGCTGGAGTCTGGCGCACAGATGTGCCCCGCACAGCCCCAGAGACCATCCCTCCTGCCTCTCTCTGACCTTCGTTTTGGGGGCAGAGGAGACCACTGACAATAGAGTCCCTTGTGCACATTCTGAGGAGAAACTGGAAGTGGAAGGCAGAGGGTCAGCAGAAGGACTTCATCCAGATAAGGTTACTCATCCTGCTATCCTCATTTTCTCTCTTTTTTTCTTAGTTTCAGTTAAAGAAATTTATTTTAATAAAGGGAATTTAGCTTTCTAGAGGATTCCGTGACTCAGAGCCCAAGATATTGGAGGCTGCGAAGCACTGTATCTCACTCTGCTCAGAGCTGTTGTCACTGAGGAGGGGCTAGGCGCCCACGAGACAGGGCTCAGTTGATGATAGGTAGTAATGTGTTTGGACAAGTGTCCTTAGAAGGAGCATCCATTCCAGCACTAAGTCAGTCTGGTTGGCTGTGACGTGAAATGTTTCAGTTCTGCCCCTATCTCTGGCTGTGTGTGTCCTTGAGTGATGAGGAAGAACTTGATGGGTCTCCTTTTCTTGCCTCTGTAAGAGAGAGGGTCATTCTTTCCCTGCCCTAGCTGCATAGAAGTCTGGTGGGTGGTGAGGAAGAAACTAGGGCAGGTAGATACCTGAGTCCCCCTGACAGCGGTGCCATGTCAGTTCACGGCCGAGCTCTCTCTCCAGGGCACATGGGGTGGAGAAGGACGTGGGCCTTTAAAGCACCAGTCCCTCCCAGCCATTGTCAGAGGAGCACGTTAAATTCAGGACAGCGCTGGGCCTCGTAGAGTTGGCACTAGATTTCTCTGCTGCTCTTCCTGCTTACCTCTGCCCCTCCTGGAATTCATGTGCTTGGCCGCCCAAATCCCATCCCCACAGCCTGGCACGGGAAGGCCCGAGTGCTGACCAGATGCAGAGCCCTTCCCAGACCTGAGACGGTCCTGAGAGCTGTGTAGCTCCCCCTGGTGAGGCCGGGCAGGCAAGAGGAAAGCACAGCCTCCTCAGGCCCCTAAGGGGCTTCTCCAGACCCAGTTCTCCTGTGCTCTTCCCTCCAAAGGTCTCCAGAGGCAGCCCTGGGTGGCCTGTCCCTCCCTCCTCATTCTGATGAGAAATGCATAAGGTCTGTGTAAGAAGGAAGCAGGCCGTGGGCCGGGAAGCTGGCAGCTTGAGTTCTCCATCCTGCTGTGTCTGCCGAGCTGTGGCTGACTCAAGCTCAGGGCTGGCCCCGCGTCCATGTAGTCAGGGGGGCGATCGTGCTCACAGCGCATCAGGGGGAAAGGTATTTTGTTTGTATCATTTCAGACGTCATTATCTCTAGCTGGTGATTCATATGTCTGGTGGCTTTAGCCCCAGACACAGCTTAGAGTCAAAGTCTGTACCCTTTGCGGGAGAGTTTAGCCCTGCTTTCCTCCACGCAGACTTAATTTCCTGGATCTGGAACTAGCGTCAAGAACCAGCCTGCAGGGATGGGATTTAACGGCAGAAACACATACCAACAAATTCAGCCCAACCCTGGGCCTGTATTCTCCTAGCCCGTGGTGTGTGTAGCTTCTGGTCAGTGGACTTCGATGGCTGTGTAGACAGTGACAGGATGTTCTTGCCGTGCACCTGAAGATAACTCTATTCTCTTTCCTCCCTTTCATTCTCTCTCCTCTCTGTTTATCCCCACGCGGGATTCTTGATGCTGTGTTTGTGGGTGTCTGGCTCCCCCTGCTGTAGAAGGGGAGTACTGCCCCTGGGACAGAGAACTCCTGCAAGGCCAGTGGCTCCAGCAGCTGTCAAAGGAAGAAGCTACGGGTACACGTAAAGGTACCCGCTCTGCCCGTTGCCCACCTTCTACCCTGGCTCCCTAGCAGCCATCCAGAATTTGCCTTCAAGAGCAGGTCCCACATGAAAAGATCTGTGCTTTATAAAGCTGCCCTGGCAGGCTTTGGCACGTACCTAGCTTGGCACCTGTCCCTGGGCCAGCCTTCATGAATGGTCATGTACAAAATAGCATGTAAGACAAAGGAGAGTCAAGGGGCAGTCAGAGGAGAAGACTCCCGAAGCAGCCTTATTGAATGTGGCCCTATCTGTGCCCCTTGTGTGCTTTGCTGCAAGCCCCCTGCTCTAGCAAAGACTCGGCCTCTTCTACTGCAGAGAACCTCAGGTTGCAGTCACAGCACCTGTAAGTGGTGGAGCCGGCATGGGTGCCGTCACCAGCAGAGGTGCCCAGAGCCTCCCTCTACCGTGCCTTCTAACATTTCTCTGGAAAGGAAGGACATGCTGGCTGATAAGTCCCCAAGGCTTCATTTATGAACAGGATGCAGAACATTATCTGGGGGGAAGACTCACTGTCTTCTCTTTGTTGCTTAGAAGATGAAGATAGCATCCACATTTTTCTCTTTGACTTACCTTCCTTAGTCATATGACATTCAAGATGTTGGGTGACTTTGCTGGAATTTAGCCCTATCCAACACCTTAAAAGCCGGCTGACCTTAGGAAAATGAATCTGTGGAGACCAGCAGTTCCAATGAGAGAGTGCATGTGGGGTTACCACCCCACATTTAACACAGCATGGTGCCCGCACCCACATTTGGTGATCTTACTGGTACTTTCTGTCCATATTACATTCTCCATTGCTTAAAAATCAAGAGGTTGTGTTAAAAAAAAAAAAAAAAGAGGTTGTGTGATAGTGAAGCCAAAGCCAAATTGTCCAGTTAGATTGTTGAGAGTGGGCTCCCATCAGGAATCCCAGGGTCCTTCAGATCAGGTGGCACCTGCTCTTGCTGCCTGAAAAGCCTTCCTCCCTCCCGAAGTGTCCCCTCTCCAAGTCACTGGCTGTTCCTTTATTTTAACCCAACTGTATGGCATGGTCCAAGCACTGATTATAGGAAGCTTATAGGGCAGGGGCTGCATGTATATTCCTTGGGCCCTGGCAGCAGGAATAATTTGAAGGGGCTGCTGGTGAATTCTCATTTAGCTAAAAAGGCCGGTCTTGTGTCCAGAGGGAAGCAGTGGGGCACCAAATGAAGTTTTAAGGAAAAGGGCTTTGACCTCAGAAAAAGGAAAGAGGTATTGTTTTATCCTGCCCACGAACCCCCAAAGCTTTGGGAATTTACAGGATAGAGCTCTGCTTCCTCTCCCAGCCATTGCCTCCCAAACTCCATTTTTTCTCCATACCCTGTCCCTGCCACAGACCAGCATGCAGCATGAGACCTATTATGGAAGGGGGATTTTTTTTTTCTCTCTCTCTCTAGCTGCAAAAGATAAACACTAAAGTACCAACAAAGTAAGTTTCCATCCTGCGTGAGTTAGCTGGTTCATGACAGAATGATACTGCCCCATCCCACTTCTCTCTTGTCAGTTGGCTGAAATCTCAGAGGAGAAGCAGTCAACATGACAGGTGGCAGTAGGCACTGTGCTGAGCACTCATGACCTGGAGGGGTGGCCCTTCAGAGGCAGTTGTAACCTGCTCTTTCTTCTGACTGGGCATTTGGGTCCCTCAAATGCAGATAAGATGAAAAGAGCATCAGAAAGGAGAGTTCTTTCTGTTTGGAGTTGGAATGTATGGTTCTCTTCATTGAAATTAACAGTATAAGTGAAGCTTGAAACCACTACATCAAGCTGAACAAGTGGGAATCGTGTGTGTGTGTGTGTGTGTTTACACTCTCAATTTTTGCCTCTTTCTGATTCAAACTGATCCTGGCAAATACAGTAACTTTTCTTTCTGTTTCCTTTCCTGTGGTGTTTCATCCCCTCCTTTCCTTGACTGCTTATTTTCTGCTTCCTTCTTCCATCATCTCTCCCTTCCTTCTCTCCTCCACCTCTGATCCTGGTACACTAGTTGGGAGCCAGAGTCTACAACAGATCCTATATCCGGCCAACCCCTTGGAGATCCAGGCTGATGTGCACTGGACACATATTCGCGAGAAAGAGGAGGAGGAGCGTATGGTACCAACCTCTGAGTCCTCCACTTCTAGAGGTAACTATTTCAAGATCCAAGGTCCCAATGCCCCTCAGAGCACCTTCTGTCCCTGCTTCCCCTCTCGTTGCTGCAGAGGACTCTTCTGTTAGGATCAAAGCCATCAGTTTGATCAAAATGTAAGAGCCAACAATTGTGACCACTACCCTTAGCTATTGTTTGAGGATATATAAAGTTCTCTATGGGTTAAGAGGTTATGAGCTCTTTCTCCATGGATGCAAAATAGTAAAATGAACTTGACCTTGGGAAAACCAAGAATTTGCTTTCTTTCCCCATATGACTAGACAGGGTTCCTCTGTCCACTTGGTAAAATGTTCTGGTGCTTTCCTTGTGTGGTGTGTCTGAGTGTGAATGTACATTGGCAGAACAGGGTAGGGGAGTATATTTTGACCTGAAATGAAGTTTTAAGAAGCGATTTCGATCCAGGAGGCCTTTAGAGTAGAGAGAGTAATGTCCAGCTCTAGGTTTCAGGTGAGACGGTCTGTGTTCCACAGTAGGATGAAGACGAACTTTAGCCCGACCTCTTCGAGGAATAGCAAGCAATAAACAGGGGAAATAAACAAGCAATAAACAGGGGCATGGTCGCTGCCATGCCACTCTCCACGCCTTCCGACCTCAGCATGCCCACTGTCCAAATATGGATCCTTGGTGTCATCAGCCTCTGTCTCTCACTCACTTTTCTTCATGCTTTCGTTCGGTGCCTGACGGGGCCACACACCCTTACAGGCTCTGAGTAGACAAAGAGGGTACTCCCTGCCTTCGTGAAGTTTAGCCCTTCACGGGGACATCTGATCCTCCCCAGCCCCAGGTCTTTACCTATAGGCAAGACCAACGTCATTAACTACTTTTGCAGCAGCATAAACACTCAGCAGGAGTGAGGAGAGAGACCCTGCTGAATAGGGACGTCGGACTGGCCTACAGCACGGAGTAGCTCCGCAGCCTCGAGCTGCTGTTGACCCTCCCTGTGTTTTCTCTCCTTTTCTCATCCTGAATGCCTACAATGGGACTGGGTTACAATGGGACTGGGACCCCTCGTTGGTGCGGGACAGGCCTCTAGCTTGTAACATCTCTCAGTTTCTCTTCTGTTTGGGGCTCTAGGATGACCTCAGCTCTCCTCAGGGGGACCACGCATTCCTGTGTAACTTTGTATCTATCGTCTGTTTTAAATTCAGTGCCTGACCTTCCCTCCATACGCCGCGCAGCCGTGCAGGCCTGGCTGGAGACAGTCTCCGGAGGTAGTCTGGTGATGTTTGTTCTCTCCCCACTCACCATAACCACTCTCTCTTGGCAGCTCTGCTGGTACCTTAACACTAGAATTCTGGTCCTGCTGCTAGTGCATGCCAAGGGAGGGGGGGCACATGCATGCCTCACTCAGGCAGCCCATCCTTGCATGGACCGGACGCACACCCCACGCCCTTCAGGGACGATCTGGAGGAGAGCAGTAGCATAGACAGAACTGACTAAACTTTTTATTATTATTATTATTATTATTATTATTATTATTATTATTACTACTACTACTACTACTACTACTACTAAAGGCTGAGTAAAGGCCAAAGCTGAGGGAACATTTTTAGCAGTGATTTTTAAAGTCTGTAGAAAAGTTGTGTAGCAGTTGGGTATAAAAGTAGAGGAATCACTTAATATTCCACAAACCCACCAAAGTACAGAAAAGGAGACTTTCAGTACTCAGGGACTTGTGGGAGACTCCTCAGTGAAGAGGGAATAACAGAGGATTGGTGGATGTTGTCCAGCTCAGGGGGACAGGCTGGGTATAACTAGACGTAGCGTCCGCTGGGTCTGCATACTAAGGTGCGGGGCCTGTTTAAATACTTAGGCTAAGAGATAGCTCAGAAACCTTGGTTGTCTTTCCTAACCTTTTCTGGAGAGGTATTTCTCAACGCGGGCCATAGCAGTGCTCAGCGAGGGCAGGACAGTTCTCTGCATTGCAGGACATTTAACTTCCTTGGCCTCAGCCCTCAAAATGTCAGCCTTGCAGCCTCTACCTCCTGCCAAAGCCATCCAGGCGACAACCAAAAAATGCCCTACACAATATCAAATACCACTTGAAGAAGAGCAGCATTGCCCCCCCCGATTGAGAACTGTGGTCCTAGTGGTTGCTTCTGGGATGGGTAGGATTGGAGCTCATGGATCTTTACCACCAGCCTCTTACCAGCCCAGCCCATTGTCCTCACTCACAGCAGAAGGAGTGGACACAGGCACGCAAGTCACAGAGCCACAGGGAGCCAGACCCTAGCTCTGTGAACAGAGCTGCTGGGCATCCCTCCTAGTTAGTCACGTCTCCCACCATGGTTGGAGAAGGCTGAGGTATCAGGACTTCACAGCTGGCAGCTGAAATAAAGCAAAAGCTACGTATGTCTGTGATTCCTAGCTTCCATAGTGTGTGGCAGCTTCTAGCACTCTGCACTCCATCTTAACCTGGGTTGAATCTCCCAATTCCATCCCTCAAGCTGCGTTTCTCCAGTATCTGCTGCTGCATTGATATTTCTCATTTGTTTGTGTTTTAATATATGTGACAATTGTTCCTTTCAAGGTACTCCCAAGGACTGTAGACTTAGTACCTTTCTGACTCTACAACAGACATTTCTTCTTTTTTAATTAATTTATTTTTTTATTATGTTATGTTAATCACCATACATTACACCATTAGTTTTTGATTCAGTGTTCCGCGATTCATTGTTTGCGTATAACACCCAGTGCTCCATTCAGTACGTGCCCTCTTTAATACCCATCACCAGGCCAACCCATTCCCCCACCTCCCTCCCCTCTAGAACCTCATTTTGTTTCTCAGAGTCCACAGTCACTTCTTAATAGCAACTCTGAGTCGGAGAACCATGTGAGGGCCAAGGGACCGGGGCCGAGATCAGGCTGACGTGGGGCAGTGTGACTGGAACAGTGCCAGACTGGGGAGTCCTGTCATGGTCTCCTTTGTGCTCGCATCCAGTGCACTTGCCAACAGAAGTATAAGTTACCATCTTGATGCCCAGGCACTCATAGATTTATTTGGGCATGCGTGTCGGGCACAGTGGACCCTAATGGGATGAGCCCTGGTTCTGTTTCCCCTGGGTTGGGGTGACTGCCAAAGGAGAAAAATGCTGGGGGAAGAGAGGCATCTGTGTTCCCACCTCTTCAGAAATGGTGTCATAAAACCATGAGCTCGTTATCCAGACAGGAAGCTCAGGTTTGAGGAGGCATGGAGTTTCCCCGGAGTCCATTCCAAACCTATTTTGAATGGTTCTCCAGAATTAGATGCAAGTCATAACCTTATTTTTAATAAGCTGAGTAGACAAAAGGGGCGGTAAGATAATTATACAGCTTAAGAAATTATTTTTATTGTTGGGTTTTTTGTTTTGTTTTGTTTTTGAGAAAGAGTGTGTGCGGCTGTGCCAGCAAGTGGGGGTGGGGAGGCATGTGCAGAGGGGGAGAGAGAATCTGAGGCAGGCTCCATGCCCAGTGTGGAGCCCGACACAGGGCTCTAGCTCATCACCCTGAGATCATGACCTGAGCCGAAATCAAGAGTCAGACATTCAACTGACTGAGCCACCCAGGCACCCCAAGGAATCATATATATATATATATTTTAACAAAAACTCCTGTGGCTAGGTCAAGCCAGCTATCCTCAGAGTGCCCCTTCCCCGTCTTCCCCACCCCACTCTGCAGGGAGTCACTTGATTTTTATCACACTCAGTCCTTGGTGTCTGCACTCACCGTGCACATGCTCACCATAGCAGGGGTACAGATTCAAGAGACTGGACAGTGGGAAGACCAGTGACTTGAGAGGGCCTGGTCCTTTCACAGCCTCTCCTTGTGGTACCGCCTTTGAAGAAATCTCCCCAGCTCTGCCACTGCCAGTGCCCCTGCTGCCCACCCGACCCCTTGGGCTTGGAGTCTCCAGCTCCTGGATATGCAAGTGTAAACATAACCCCTTTTTCTGAAGTGAGAACAATTAGGACTGTTTGGTGAGTGGCTGTGCTTCGAACTCTAGAAGAAGCCCTCAGGACCCCTGACCGACGGGGACTGTCAGTCCCGGGGACCACGGGATCTCGGCATCCTTTAAAGCAGCATGCGTTGCTTTCTCAATTGCTTTCTCTTACTCCAAACTGTTAGTGTGAGCTCCAGGTGTGCAGAGGTTGGGAACAGGTCTGAATGAGTGTGTGTGTGTGTGTGTGTGTGTGTGTGTGTGTGTGTGTGTTTGGGGGCTGGTTCCTCCTGAGGAAAATGAAGTTGACAAGTGCTTTGCCTCATTCTGCAGCACCGAAGGGCTATTCTTGAGTCTAGAAAATGAACTTTACATATCCCCTCACCATCTCCCTCATGCTTTAAAAAACAACAACAACAACACATTTCTCTTGAGTTACCCCAAGCGAAGCTGCAACCTCTGCCATTTGAAAGGGGAGGGAGGTGCCCTCGGGGGTCCTGTTGGTCCCTCACGTGGCAGTGATTTCACCGACACACAGCACTGCAGCTGCTAGATGGAGCCTTGTGGCCTCGGCTTCCCCCAGCCCCTCGAGCGAATCGTTGTGAGGATTCAGTGACTCGTGGCATGTGACGCAGCCCAGAGCTGCTGTTGCTGCTGGGCCTGGAGAAGCAGCATCTCCCGTCTTCTCACACTGAGAAGCTTCCGGCAGCCCCGGGGGAAGAGGGGAGATGAGCAGACCTGACGCTGCTCTCCCTCTTCCACTTGACCCTGCTGGAGTTGAGCAGTGCTAGTCCCGTGTGTTCAGGAAGGGCCCCAAGCCCTCACCAGCGCCCACACTGCTTTTAGCTCCCCCAAGTCTGGCTGACGTCTGCCTTGGGGTCCAAATCCAGACACTTCAGAATCCATCTCCCTGCTTCTCGAGGTCTTCGAGAATTGCAGCCCTGGGAAGACCACTGCCCCCTTACACCTGCACAGGCAGTCTCTCTGTCCATCTGTCTGTCCTTTTCTTCCTTCCTTTGAACCTTTCTGCTTTACAGTCCCATTTGATGAGAATGACGTGGAGGAAGATGTGGACTCGGAGCCGGCAGAGATAGAAGGGGAGGCAGCGGAGAATGGGGACACAGGGGACACTGGTGCTGAGCTGGATGATGGTACGGGGGACCCCAGAGCCTCCCCTCTCCACTGTGCTGACCGCCCTCTTCCCCACTGTGTGAATGCAGCTCAGGAAAGGGATCATATACGTTAAAAGCAAAAGCAAGGCACTCAGAAGAGACCACCATTAGGTCCCCTGGTCGCGTTCCTTGTCCTGGCACTAACTTGAATGTGTGTCATTCCACCCCGAAGCCAGCAGACAGCAGAGCGTGCATTCAGTGAGTTGTGGTTGAGAAACTGAGCAGACTGGGTGCTTTAGACATGGGCCTCTAATTCAGTGGATGTCCTCCAAAAGGTAGCTACAAGGAGATGGTATTTTAAGAATTATAGTCTGCTTGTTGGGGAAAAGGGGGCAGGGACTTAGCCTGGGAGAAATGAGAGGGGTCCAGACAAGCCTGTGAGGGAGCATGGAGTTGCTGTGGTGTTGGGGGAAACACAGACCATTGGTGAGTCCACGAAGCAAGGCCTGCCCTTCACAGGCACATGCATTGTGTTCTGGTCTATCAGGTGGCCTCTTATGCATTTGGCTTTGATGAGAGCACCATGTTGCAGAGAATGAGGGGCTTTGGGCCGAGTCTCTCAGAAGCACTGGGGACCAGTAGGCAGGGCCCAGCTGTGGCACAGGTCTACACCTCAAGCCGAGATGCTGGTTTGGCTGCTTTCTGGGGATGGCAGGAGACTCGAAAAGAAGCAGGGCCTCACTCGGGTGGTCTGTGCCCTCCCTTCCTTCTGCCAGATCAGCACTGGTCTGATGATATCCCGTCGGAAGCTGAAACGGAGCTTCGCGTGCGGCAACAGGCAGTGGTGGAAGCGGAGCTGGAGCTGAGGGCATCAGAAAGCGAGGAGGAGCAACCTGTCACCACACCAGGGCACCAGGAGAGAAGTAAGTCTGTTGACTCAGGAGAAACTGCTTCCAGAATTCCCACTGAGAGCCTGCAGGGATGAGAGCAGCCCCCAGGACACAGGTCCCCCAAGTGGAGCTGGAGCAGGGCCGACACGCTGCACGCCAGCCTCCAGTGGCACACAGCTCTGCTTGCTGTCCTCCTTCCCCATGCATGGACCCTGCACGCGGCTTCGGCCAACAGCCCTTTCTATGTGTGCTCTGGAGCCATGAAAGGGTAGGAGGTACATCTCCAAGCTGGACACAGATCACACACACACGATAAAAGTCCGCACTTCGAACATGAGTAGAGGTGGCATCCAGGGACACTCTGGGAAAGCACTTTCTGCTGGCCAACAGCGACCCCCAGAGCTGGCTGGGAGAGGAACCCTCAGCAGGAAGGGTGGGGCGGGGGGTGCTTCCCTTATAAAGCCTGTGTCTGTTCTGTTCAGGTCCCGCCCAAGTCCCCAGCCCTGCCCCGTCCCCTGAGGAGCAAGCCGGTCTGCTCTCCCCAGGCCACAGCCCTGTGGCAGAGGTAAGGGCTCGGGGATCACTGTGGGGACAGAACTGATGGGACCCTGAGTGGACATATGAATTCCTTCATCTTAGGGCCCTTACTGTGAACCCATTTTTTTGCTTCTTGTGCAAAGTGGAGCTGCTAAAAACAGGAGTGGCCTTGGGGATCCAACTCAGTCCTCACCATGAGGACAAGGCAGTCTGGGCAGCATCGCTCTAACCCTGCGCTGTACCTGTACCCAGACCTGAGTCATCCCACCACTGTGTCACTCTTCTGTCATGCCACACCATTTTAAAAGTAAATTTATTTTTAAGTTAAAGCAATAATTTCTGTGGACTCATTGGGTTTGATATGACAGATGAGTTTGTTTCTTAGTGTTATGTTAAAATGAACGTGACTGACTTTTAAAATTAAAAATATTCCCCCAGATTACCAGTGGTATGTGAGCCACACACTGAAGAATGCTATGTAAACAGATCGCAACAGTGTGTCCTGTGGAATATGTTTTGGGAAATCCTATGTGGAGGACAGATCAGGGAAGGAGGCCAAACTCAATACCTGGGTTGGCTTGGTTTGGTCTTTGAGATTCTAAGAAGCAAGATGAATTTGGTGATTTCACTCATGAAATTGGGCGAGCTTTGCTGAGACTAATGGGTGGGGTGGTATATGGATTTGTGCAGGAATATCTGGATCTTTGAGCTTCCTGGGAAGGACAATTTATAGTATAGACTGTAAAAAAAAAAAAATAGCTGTTTTAAATCTTACAGTATGGGCCCTTGTCTTCATACATCAGAGGTCTTGAGCTCTTGGGGTCCATAGTCAGGAGAGCTGGGTCCATTAGTGTGCTTTGGGCAGGTGTCCGTTTCAGTGCACAAAGAATGTAGGGTGTGTTCAAGATGAACCAAACCCTGAAAGCTGAGTCTGTTCAGTAAAATAGAGTGGCTTTAAAAATTGAACAAATAGAGCAAAAAGTGAGGAAGGTTCTCCTGGAGCCATTTGAATGACAGCCTAAAGGAAGAGAGAGGAATTTATTTCATAAACACAGGCCCTTTGAGAGAGAGCTCCCTGATAAGTTTCTTCTGACCATTGAACCCTTCCTTCTAAGCAGCTTCTATCTTCCTTTTCTGTAGGGGGCCCAAATCCCACCTGTCTCTGTTGCTACCAAAGTGAAATTGCCCGAGGAGAGCCTTTTCCCTGAACCTTTGCTCCCCAAAATGAAGCCCAAAGCAGAAGTGCCCACTGACCAGAGAGCTGTGCGCTCTCCTATCCGATTGCAGCCAGTGGCTCTGCCGGAAGCCAGGACACCTACCTCCCCAGTTAGTTCACAGCTCCTGTCACCGTTGGCCACCTCCACCCCCACCTCCACCCCCACCCCCACCCAGCTCCCCATTTGCTCCCAGCCTCAGCCTTCCTCTGAGGCCACTATCCCATCCCCCACCAAGTCCCCCATATGCTTCCAGCCTGTTCCAGCCAAAACATCCATCCCCATGGTTCCCCTCCCCTTGAAGAACCAAAGGGATGCCAAGGATAGACTGGGAAGCCCTCTCGCTGTGGATGAGGCCCTGAAACGGAACGATCTGGTGGCAGAGTTCTGGATGAAGAGCGCCGAGATCCGCCGCAGCCTCGGGCTCACACCTGTGGATCGGAGCAAGGTGTCCGAGTCCAGCTTCCCGTCGCCTGCCTTTAAACCAGTGTCCCTAAAATCCTATTCAGTTGAGAAGTCTCAGGGTGAGGGCCTCCAGCTTCTAAAACCTCCACCTGTTCCTAAGAGGCTAGGCCTGCCGAAGTCAGATGGTGACCAGCCCTCCCTGCCAACCCCCAAGTCCCCATCTGACAGAGAGCTGAAAAGCTCCCATGAGGAGAGAAGAGATCTATCAAGCAGCTCTGGGCTGGGCCTTCATGGGAGCTCCTCCAACATGAAAACCTTGGGCAGCCAGAGCTTCAACACCTCAGACTCCACCATGCTCACTCCACCTTCAAGCCCACCCCCACCCCCACCCCAGGATGAGGAGCCCGCAACTCTTCGAAGGAAGCCATATCAGACTTATGAGCATAAGGAGACCAAGCCCAAGGCCTCGGTGATCCCACCCCCACCACCTGCCTCCTTTATGCGGGCCCCCCGAGAACCCGCCCAGCCCCCCCGAGAGGAGGTGCGGAAGTCGTTTGTGGAGAGTGTGGACGAGATCCCCTTTGCCGACGACGTGGAGGACACCTATGATGACAAGACAGAGGACTCGAGTCTACAGGAGAAGTTCTTCACACCCCCCTCCTACTGGCCCCGCATAGAGAGGCCCCTCCACTCACCCCTAGCCAAGGAGAATGGTAGGTTGCCTACTCTGGACAGTGGGGTCCAGCCACAGAAGAGGGGCCTGCCCGTGGTCTCTCCAGAAGCCAAGGAGCTGGCTGAGGAGCGCATGCGAGCCAGGGAGAAGTCTGTGAAGAGCCAGGCGTTGAGAGACGCTATGGCCAAGCAGCTGAGTAGGATGAAGGAGATGGAGATGGCGGCTGGGACCTCCAGGCCCCCAGGAGGCACCTCCCGCAAAGCCTCCTCAGTTCCCTCCAAGGGCAAAGACCTCGGCCCCGAGTCCCCTAAACGCCTGGTTCTCAAAGGCCCCAGGGAGCCTACCCTGAAGCACGAAGCCACTAGTGAGGAGGTCCTCTCCCCTCCATCGGACTCAGGGGGCCCCGATGGTTCGGTCACCTCATCCGAGGGCTCCAGTGGGAAGAGCAAGAAGAGATCGTCACTCTTCTCCCCCCGCAGAAACAAGAAAGAGAAGAAGTCCAAAGGTGAGGGCCGGCCCCCAGAGAAGCCCAGCCCAAATCTGGAGGAAGCCGCTGCCAAGCCCAAGTCCTTGTGGAAGTCCGTCTTTTCTGGGTACAAGAAGGACAAGAAGAAGAAGGGAGATGACAAGTCCTGTTCCAGCACCCCTTCCAGCGGTGCTACTGTGGACTCGGGCAAGCACAGGATGTCTCCCATTGTGAGAGCAGGTATGTCAGCACCAGGGGACCCCCTCCTGCGGCAGGTGTGTCCTCCAGCCATTGGTTCTCCTCAAAAGATCTATTTCTCCTGCTGCTTCCCCGAGGGTTCTTAGGAGCTATGCTAACGGGGTAAGGAAGAAGGAAGCAGAACCATGGGCTCACAGAGCATATTCCAGGTGATAGAATAATTCTAAAATCCAGCTTACTCATAAGACTTGGGAGGTGTGTGCACTTCCTCAAGTCACACGGCCCCGGGGCAGGGCCCGATTCTGAGCAAGGCAGAGCTCAGCCCTCCCGGGAAGGCGCCAGGCAGGCTGTTGTCTGGATGCTGTCTGTTTAGTGTTCACACTGCCCCTGCCAGCACAGGTGTCAGCCTCCAAGCTCCTGGCTCCCCTGCATGGGTTAAGAACCCCTCAAACTGGAAAGAAATCCAGCCTCTCCCCGACTCCCTGGGTGGCGCATGTGCATGTAGAAATCAGGAAAGCACCGTGGTGTCCTCGATTTGCCTCTTTCCATCCCCTTAGAGCTGCAGCTGCGGCGCCAGTTAAGCTTCTCGGAGGACTCGGACCTCTCCAGTGACGACATCCTTGAGAGGTCTTCCCAGAAGTCCAGACGAGAGGTATGTCGGGATCAAACCCAGCCCAAAACCTCTATGTAGTATTGGTCTTTGTGAGGTGGAAGAAAGGGAAAGCAAATCTGCAGCCCGGGGTGGATAGTGGGGTCCTCCTCTGATCTCCCAGCAGACCCACAGCTGAATCCTGAGCCCAGCCCAGACCCAAGTAAGAGGCATAAAGGGAGTTCTTTTCTTGGGCTTTTTTTTTAGGGAACAGCTGGGGCTTGTTTCAGTGGCAAGAGTTCCTGTGTTTCGTCCTCAAAGATTCAAGCTGCTGGCATTGTCCATTCATTCTTTTGTCCTCAGAATTCCCATGTGGAATAGCATCCGCCAGTGTCCAGAGTGACAGAAGAAGGGTTGTCCGTGCCCCAGAGTCTGGTGGAGGTTGGGACGGGGACTATGGCTTTAGGCAGTAGGTGGAGGCTGAGTCACTAAGGAATGTGTCCTGTCATCCTGCCTGCTTTGTACATTTGTGGATTAAAGAGTAATTTTTGCTGTTAAAGAACCAGTACAGAAAACTGACCTGGATTCTGTGCTTAGTAGGGCACTATGGATCTGACTTGGTCCCTCTTACTACCCCGGGCTTAGGAGCTGGGCTGGCCACTCACCTCTCCTGAGAGCTAACCCTCAATGTGGAGGGCTCTTGGATATTTATTCAATCTTCTGATTTCCAAGGGCTCTTGTAGCTCTGTGTAGATACAGTGAAGTTGGAGGAGGGAGAGGGATTAGAGAAAGTTCTAACAGGGCATTGGCATCACGGAGACAGTGATGGGGTGAGGACGACAATCCAGAAAGGCCTGGGCAGCACATAGGGACAGTTCAAGCTGCACCATCTCTGTTGTCTGGCCTGGGACACACACTCAGCCTCCTGTCCCAGGCGACAGCCCAGCTATCTTCGGCTCCCTTTTCTGAATGACAAATGTCCCCAGAATGTCATATACCTTCTTTACAAGGCTCTCCAGGGCTCGCATTTGAGTCTGCCTCTCTGTAGGCTTCCAGGGTGTTGCCACAGCAGACCTGAGCCTCGCATGTGTCTGGTCAGTAAAGATGGCTTCTGCAGCTGTGGCCAGTCCCCTCCTCGCAGCCCAGTCCCGCTTTTAACAACTTGGCACACTGGAGGAAACCCATCTTTTAGTTCTCCTCTCATTCTTGGTCTGTTGGCCTCCCATGGCCATACCAGCTATTTACCTGTCCACTCTCCTAGAAGGACACCTGACCAGTCAGGCCTCTGATCCCTCCCTGCCATGTGCAGAGCCAGCTTCCACCTGTCTCAGCCAGGCCAGCACTGAGTTAGGGTTGGGACCCTGTGTGCAGGCTCTCCCCCAGGAGCCTGGCTTCGTGGGTCTCCTATCAATTGCTCCCCATTTTGCTTTCCCAGGCAGTAGCATTGGTATGACATTGGGACTAAGAACTGCTTCTGGATATGTACCTGGGTCCCTCAACATGTGCTGAGAGTGGGGACTGGCACTGCCTTAGGGGGTTTGCGGGGTGGGGGGGTTGTGGTCTGTGAAGGAGAATGTGGCCCAGGGTTGCGCTTTGCTTCCATGTAGTTATGCAGATGTTCAGCCGGTCCATCTCCTGTTGGTCAGAAACTCCCATCTGTGTGGTTGCTTCTGTGGTCAGTCTCTCCACTGTTTCTCAATTAATGAGACATCCTGGCAGAACATGGAATGGCAGGCTGCCCAAGCTGGCCATGCCAAAGCTTTCTTCTCAGCAATATGTGTCATTGAGGGCAGCCTCCCCTGGGGCCCTGCTGACCTGAGGCACATAGAGAGCTCTTCCCCTTCTACGTGACCAACAAGTCATGGCCCCCACTCCTAGAATCCCAGAATCAGAGGCGTGGGGGGCTTCACGTTCCATGTGTGTCCCCATAGAGGCAGAGCCATTTGCTGGAGGCTGAGCAGGCAATGTGAAAGACAAAGCTGAGCCTAGGACGTGTTGACCTGAATCCTACCATGGTGTGGGTTTTTTTCAGAAAAAAAAAGACTATATATAAGGATTATATATCAAATATGTAGCAAAATGCTAACACTTAGCAAATCTAGGCAAAGGTGTTCATTGTTCTCTTCCAGCTTTTCCTAGGTTTGAAAATTTTCAGAGCAGGAAGTGAAGGGAGTGGGGACACCTAAAGGTGCAGTGGGGTCAGGAGGGAGCATCTCTAGTAGCTGGAGGAAATGGTTCCTCTTGCATCACAGACCCGTCTCTGAGTCAGGCATCTGTGAAACAAGTGCCTGAGTTTTGTTTCGTTTAAAAAAAAAACAAAAAACACCATACAGCACATCATTAGTTTTTGATGTAGTATTCAATGATTCATTATTTGCGTATAACACCCAGTGCTCATTACGTGTATGGTGACTAATATAAAACAATAAAAATAAATAAATACACAAAAATAAAAAACAAACGACAAAAAAAACCTAAAATTGAAAATAACTTATTTTTATTTAAAATGTTTACTTAGGAAAACTAAGATAATACAGACTAAATCTATACTATCACCTGTAACCCTACCAACAAAAGATAATTCACATTCGCCTCTTTTCTTTGCCTGAGCCTGACTTTAAATATAAGTGATGCACTGCGTCCTAACCTCTGTGGCCCGCCCACGGGCATGTGCAGAGGATGTGGGACAGGCCCAGGTCCCCGTCGGGGACCACAGCAGAAGCAGCAGCTCTGGCTGGCCTCGTTCTCTCAACATACTGCACACGCTTCATGATTTCCCCCCTCAAGTCGCCGCCTCTGCCAAGGTGGTACCTGACCCCCCTCCCGCCCCCACCAGAAGTCAGTCAGTGCCTGCCCCCACTCCCTTTACTTTTTACAGCAGCCGCAGGTGCAGACGTTAAGTGCTACTCCTTAGGTGTGGTTACGTAGTTCCTATGGACTGGTTCACATGCTGCTTGGGGAAACCATCTATCTTCTGTTTTTTAGCTGATTTGTTCTAATAATGACATTCATCCTGGTTTGTGGGAGAGATGAGTCAGTCTGAGGAAGGACATATGTGCCTGAAGTATTTTTGGTGAATATCAGTTACTTATGCTATTTTAGGCCCCTTTCACTGTGCATAATCAAGAAATGGCCCCCGCCCCTATCCAGGATTTCTGGGTGGCCCACTAGGAACCCACCTGGCCCACACTGCCAGGAGAGAGCCTTTTGGAAGAGAACATTAGGTCTGATACTCAGTTTGCTCTGTGTCTGTGTTTCTGTGGCCCTGGCAACAGGAGTTTCCTACCACCAGTGCCCACCCCCCACTGAGCTGAAAGAAGTAGTCTGAATTTCCACAAACAAGTGGGTTACTGAAGGAGAAATGGCATCTATAACCATGTATTTAGACAGCTTTAGTTTATTATACACAAGGGACAGTCAAAAGAGAAGAAAGAAGATCTGGGGCATAGTGAGGAAGAAGCTGTCTTCTCAGTAGAAAAGTGAACCCAGTCCTTATTCAAAACCAGGGTTCACTGAGACCCTGCTGCTAGGATCTGTATCCCCAGGTTCCTCACTTACTCAGTCCTGTGACATTGTGAAAAATAATCATGTGTTTTAGTCTTCAGTCTCGCGTGTTTGTTTTAAACTTCTAACTGATTTTGCTCCATTTCTGTGTTCTATTTTTAATTTTTTAATTGTTATTATTACTATTTTGTTTTCTGTTGCCATCCCCTTAAAAGTTGATTTATGTACCACACGCCTTGGCATTCAGGAGATCATATGCATCAAAGGTAGTGTCTCATTCCCATGGCTGGTCATTGTTGCATGCATGTCTGTGATTAACCACCTGGAGCAGCCCCCAGCCCTGGCCCTCCAGCCACATCCTCACTAACTGTTCACACGTGCATGGAGCAGTAGTGAACACGGGCCCCAGAACTCTCTCTAGCTGTGTCATGGCGGAGGAAGGGGAGATGCCCTGCTCTTGACTGGCTGGAGTGCATGTGGTAATTTCACTCCAGGGCTGCCCCTTTGGGACTGGGCACCAGAGGAGTGGGGAGTTCGCAAGCCCTTAGCTCCATGACCTGCAAGGTGAAAGGCTTAGGGTGCTAGAACACCACATGTTCTGTAAGGACTTACCTGCTCAGTTGGCCCTCCACTGTCCTTGAGCTCTTAAAATAAAGATTATTAGACTATACTCCTGAGTTGAATTTGGAGGTCTCTTTTAAAGTCTAGCAAAGTCTCTCTTTGTTTTCATTGGAGGAAATAAAGATGTTAGGAATAGCGGCAAACCCCTCGGCATTTGCCTCTTGGTGGTTGCTCACTGTTTACACAAGGCATCTGACACTGCCTTGCACCCTTGATGCCCACATTTGCAGGCATTGCTCAGGCACTTGTGTCCGTGGATTTGCCCTGCATCTGGCCTCTTGCCTCCTTAGGGCTTAGTAGCAGTGGCTGAAACCGCCCTGCCGGACCGCCTCCCCGCCCCTCTCAGTGGCCGACTGCTGCCTCTGTGCATTACCCTGGGGGCAGTCCGGGCTCGCCTCCATATCTCCCTCCTTCAGACTGCATTAGTTAGTTTGGGGTTCACTCACACTTAAAAATAGAAGCATCCCCATTTTCTCTACTTTAGATGTTACTTCTTAAGAGAACCTTATAAATATCATTCATCTGAAGGAAGTGGCATTTGATACTAGACAAGAAAATAAAAGGATCCCGATTTTTCTTTTTCCTTCTCCTGTATAGGCATACATTTCTGCAGTGCCCTCCTAGAAGCAGGAGGCTTGGGGGAACTAATTATCATATTTTTACCCCCAGAAAGTCTTAAAAAGAGCAGATATCCTTCCGTGGGAAAAAGGTGATCTCTGTGATAAAGGAGCATATCACCCTTGGTCCTTTTAACTTCCTAACAGTCAGTCCCCACTCAGCCTCCTGTCCCCGTCACAGTGGGGAAGTATCTCATTTGTAGAGCTTTAGCTGTACCCTGTAGCAGTTAGGGCTCCAGCAAGGACGAGTGTCAGTGAAGCCTCTGGCCGAGCTGCAGCCTGGGCGTCTGCCCTGCAGGCACTCTGCAGAAGGGCAGCTCCGACCTAGGGGAAGTGCTTTCCGTGCCCAGGCCTGCGGCACCTGACTGAGGGAATCTCTCTCATTCTCTGCAGCCAAGAACTTACACGGAGGAGGAACTGAACGCCAAGCTGACCCGGCGTGTGCAGAAGGCAGCTCGGAGACAGGCCAAGCAAGAGGAACTGAAACGGCTACACCGAGCCCAGGTAAAATCCCTGAAGGGGCTATCACAGCTACTGAGTGGGAAAGAGCCCCCTCCTCTCTGACATGCTTGTCCTTGTCCACGAAGTGGGAGGGTAGAGAGGACAGAGCAGAGGTAGACGGGGTGTCCCTGATATCTGAGAGGACGGCCCCAACATGTCAGGCCACAAGCCTCTGGCTTGATGCAACTGCAGAAGCCTTGTTTTTATGGAATTCCTGGTAGAAAGGAAGAGCTGGGCTTTGAGTTCCCTAAATTCCTTGCTGTGGAATAATCATTGTAAAGTCAACTAGTTCAGTTGTGAGGACTGTCATTGAGAGGCCATCTGTGACCTGTCAGCCTCTGGTGGGCCTGGGATTTCCAGGTCAGAGCTGTCCTCCAGGTATCAGCCTCTATCTTCAGGCCTCACAAATCCTAGACCATTCCAAATTTTCTTTCTGGAACAAAAAATCATTTCTTTATATAAAGTATTAAAAGATATCTAAATACAATATGTTTTTGTAATGAAATTGTGCATGTAGAGTTGTATTCATATTAGTACACTAATCAAAAGGTATAAACAATGAGAAACATTAACAGCAAACCCAAATACCACGTTATGCTGCTGAATCTCAATTTTAGCAAGCATCAAAAACCACCAATCTTTTAGTCCTTATCTTGAACATTATTCTGTATCCACGTTCTCTGCAATGATTGGATTCTTGGATTTTATTTCGTTTTCTGTGTGCCATTTTCCAGATATATGTCATGGGCTGCTGCTTTGGGGGTTGAATGTCCTTCTGGTACCCATGATTAGTCCCCACGTAGCACAGAGAAACTTCTCACTATACGCTTCCAAAAAGATTCTAGTGCATTGCTCCATTCTAGAATTTTTTTTTTTTTTAATCTTCTAGAGGCAGGATTTCAGCACTACCCTCCAAGAACCCCTGCTAGGGCTTTAGCAGCCTCACTGTTGGCAGGGTCTTACTTAGGATGCAGTACCTCAGTCCTTGCTGCAGGAGCTGACGTCACTTCCTTTGTCTGAGCTGCCTTGCCGAGAGCTGGACGAGTAAGCTGTGCTGCTTACTAACAACAGGCCCTGGGGGATTCGACGCGGGTGGTCTTTACACCCCACTCCGGGCTTAATGACCGTGGACAAAAGCCTTTCCAACTTTCAGACATAAATTGTTTTTCTCCCTGTCTGTGTTTGTACAGTTTAGTTGTCCTCCTGAAAGCTAGGAGACAAGAGAGAAAGTCGGGTGCTCACGCTATTCTCTTTTCCCGTAGATTATCCAGCGGCAGCTGGAGCAGGTGGAGGAGAAGCAGAGGCAACTGGAGGAACGAGGGGTTGCCGTGGAGAAGGCACTCCGTGGTGAAGCAGGTATTGTCCGCGTCTCCTTTGTGAGGAGGTTTGTTCCTAAAGGAAAGCCCCTGCCCCCACCACCCATGGTAGGCTAGTTTTGTGTCACCTCACGTGGAATTCAGCTGTTTTTCCAGCAGGGTTCTCTGGGGCCCTTCATCACCGAGATTGGGGCTTCCTATTAAGCAAAGGAAAAGGAAAGCATCTCTGTTTGGGACTGCCCCAAGACCTGGACTTGTTCTTCTGCCCTCTCAGAGGGTTTGGCATTTATCTGTAGAACGAACTCTCAGTCCGCTTCACGTATTGATGGCAAGCACTGGGCCTCCTCCTCTCTTCTTCCTCCTTTCCCCGTCCCCTGCTTCGTTTCCTCTAGAAGAAAATAGCTGGGAATGAGGGACAATGTACCACAAGGAGCCATCACAGAACTGCACGAGTGGGGCCCCCAGCCTGCTCCCCACCTGTCACCTCCAGTGTTTAGCTTTGTGGGCTCCCTTTCCTGCTCTGACCGCACAGAGAATAGGAGGACACATGCCCCACAGAGCCCTCACCGCTCCTCCAGTGTGAACCTGGGCTCTGTGTCTCCCAGAGGCTGGTCACTCGGGGCAAGGACAGGCTCGGGGGACGGTGGCGAGCCAGCACAAGGTAGACACGGGAACGGCTGTGAGGGCCACACGCTCAGTGGCTGCCATGTCCAGGGAAGAGCTGCGGAACGTAGTGCAGTCACCCCCACTGTTCATCCAAGGAGCCTGCGAGGTGGGTTCAGCCCAGTGGGGCACAAAGGAAGCAAGGAAGTACCTGAGTCATCTCTAGTCCCAAGGGCCAGGAAGAAGCCCTGTTGGTTAAGGACCTTCAAACCACTGGGCCAGCCCCAACTAGAGGCCCAACTCAGGCATGGAGTGACTGATCTCTGCTTTCTGAAGAGTCCTTGAGTCTCAGTCCAGCCTCTGGATGGGGAAATCTCCATGTCTTTGTAGAGAGCACAGGCCTCCAGGGTCAGTGTTCAAGTTGTGAGGCTGGGGATAAAGAAAGGAGGTGACCTAACTTTACAGTAACCCCCTATTCCTTATTCTCGTGTGGCAGAGGGACAGGGTGGCTACATCCCCTGGCAGGCAGGCTCTCTGTAAACTGAAGGAGAACCAGTAAGAGGCAGCGAGGAATGGGGCCAGTTGCTGCCATCGGATCTTGCTGAGCTGACCTCACAGGATGTGCCTGGTGTCAAGATGAATCCGTAAGGTTCTGCAGGCCCTAAGTTCATTTGGGGGGAGTCAGGGTTCAGGCATAGAAGAAGATCTTTCCGGGCCCTTCAAGGCCTAGATATTGCAGCTGAACAGTCAACTCAGTGGTGACCTTCAGGTGAAGAGATGGGATGAGGAGAAGGATGAGGGTGTGATGTTCTTGGTTTTGTCCCTTTCCTGATGCTGGAGTTACTGCTTGGGGCCTGGGCCACCGAATGAGATGCAAAAAGTCAAACCACTGAGCAGCCTGTAAGCCAGAAGCCTGGGACGTGTGACTGAGAGGCAAGCACTGGCCCATGTCAATGAGTGGAGATTTGGGTTCACCTCAGAGGGTCTCCAGGCTTCCAAAAGAGGCTGTGATGTCTCCCACCATCCTTGTTTTGGCTTCCTGCCCTGCATGCGCTTCCTTGGCCTCCTGAGTTAAGCCTGACCATCTGGACGGAGTTAGCCTAAGCCAAGCAGGGATGCCCTGCCCAGCTTTAACAGGACTCACAGGGCCCTTCCCTCGTTGCTTTCTCTTCTTGCAGATGTCAGGAGGGAGCCTTCTTATCCTTCCCCACAGATTACTTCTGCCGAGATGGAAAATGAGGGATAGATCTTCCAACACATAGTCAGAATAACTCAATAGGCTGGTGTACCACCATTTCATTGTTAGCCTGAGTCCTCAAGGAAGATAGTCTGCGTCTCCTCCTTACAGGGTTCCGAGGTTCAGGTGGGCCGCCCCAGGGTTATGGTTTCTGCAAAGTACTTGTGTACCTGTTGGATGCCATGCAATTCGAGACTGTGGCGTTGCTTCAGTATTTCTAGAACAGGCCATGTTATTCAAGCTGCTGACTGCCCGGGGTCATAGAAACTCTGCCCTTGAAGATTGGTGTGCGAGACTGCCAAAATTCCCCTTTCTAGTTGCTTAGGTAATTACCTTTCCATAAAAATATACAACCAGGATTTCATCTAAGTCAGTGGTTTTCAAACTTGTTTCTTAGCAGCAGAACCCTTCATACAAGCCAAATTGTAGGTTTAAGTTCAAATCAAAAAGAACCACTCTAGAATGTTGATAAGCACCAATTTGGTAATACAGGTTAGAGTAGAGAACTGCAAGTGATAATAGGCCTCAGCCTCTGGTCCATCCCTGGGTCCCAGTGCAGAGAACATTCTGACACACAGAGGGAGTTGCCAGAAATGGCAACTGTGTTTTAATAGTTCTCTCAGAAATCTCAGGATACCTGCAGTTTAAATTACCTCCATCTCAGAAGCCAAAGGTGGGAGCAGTAGGAATTGTTTACACGGTAGCATCACTACTAAATCTAGCAGCAGTGCAAGTTCCTTATAAAGAGTAGATCTCAGAGAAAGGCTCCCAAGCATGCAGTAAACACAGAAGCCAGCTCTGCTGTGGCATCATGGTCCGAATGTTACCCTCTTCAAGGACTGCACTGTGACAGGAACTACTCTGACAGGCTGGGTCTCCCCTGAGTGATGGCCCCCCCAGGGTGCTGTCCTGTACAGCTCTTTGCGACCACTCTCCTTGGAAGCCAGAATTTAAATAAATACATAAGATAGCCTCTTCCCTAGCGCATTTTCAGGGAGTACAGATACTTGCACATGGAGGGCAGAAGAAACTTGGTCCTGAGAGCCTCACAAAAACAAGTTTACCTGACAGCACAGATGAATGTGTTGATGGTCCTCAGTGGGTTAACGTCAGCATATCAGACTTCTGAATGTAGTGTGTCTTGTGTAAGCTTTAAAGGAGTTCAAAGTATTTGTGAATCAGGTAGTTGGGAGACCGCTGGAATACCGCTCAAAGAACCCTAGGGTCTCACAGAACGGTTTGAAAACCACTGTTCTAGTCCAAACTCTGGTAAGCAAAGCTTTATCAAAACACCTTCACCCAAATACAGATTTGTCCTGTTTTTAAAGACAGACTTTGGTAGCTCCATTAGATTACCCCATGATGCATTTGGGAAATTCTCAGGGTATAGTAGCTCCTATCATAAGAATATATTTCCAAACATACTATTTTCCTTTTCTTATTTTAAGCACATCACTTCTAAGGCTCGCCTCTTGTCAGAAGTCCCAGTGGCCCTGGCTACTTGGCAGAGGTCATCTTTGAGGCTGAACTGTGACCATTGGCTGTACTTTCTCTCCTGCTTCTGCGTTCTGTTTCTCTTGTTAGTCTGGTTGCTCCTGGCTGAGTCCTTAAGGAGATCATCTCAGCTGAGCATGGCAGTTTGGAGTCTTCCAGCCATGCTAGCTGGCCCCTTCCCTGAGGGGGACAGCTGACTGAGCCTGTCATCCTGCCTCACTCGATGGGCCCAAGCTTCCATAGCTCTCTGAGGGGTCAGCCTGTTAGCAGGCTGCCCTTGCAGACAAGACATCTGATATGGACCTGCCGTCCTATTGACCTTGATTTGTCTAAGGCTCATGTGTATCTGGACCATAAGGGTTAGGTTCAGAGCCTGCAAGCTTAGGGCAGATGTGATTTCTAGTCTAGAGCACCTGAGAAGCCCTTTTTGTTTCTGGAACCATGGTGCAGATTTTATCCACTGCATCAGCCTTGAGCATGAGGTGAAAAACCATTCCAGGATTACATTCTGCTTTCTGGTACGGCCATTCTTAAAGGGGGAACCCTCGTGTGGAACAAAAGGCCTCCAGGATCAGCATGCAGCCGGAGAGACCTGGAGGCAAAGGGTAACGAGGTTCAGCTGACTTTTGTTGTACTATGCATTTATGATTCTGGGGGGATGAGGACTGCCTGAGCAAGCCCAGCCCCTCAGCAGTGCCCAGGCTCTGCATCTCAGGCATGAGAAGAATGCAACCTCCTTGCTGGACAGCCGAGTGGAGCTGAAAGGCAAAGGGAGTGCCTGAGGCCGGCAGACCTCCAAGAGCCTTAGGGCAAGTAGTGACTCTGCTTTTAAAGAGAAGCCTGGCTGAAGTTGGGGCCTAACCTCAGAAGAAACAGGATCTCCTTCATCTGAAACCTATCCAGTGAAAGCAGTTCTGCAAGCAGTTTGATATGCTCAAGCAGGGGGTCACAGGTGAATTCTTGGGAGAGCTTGGACTGCCTTTCAACCTAAGGATTGGTGGCCTTGCAGAGCTTTTTTAGAATGTTCACATCTTGCCTTTGGCCCCTCAGCCTGGGGCTTTTAATATTCAGTAATGAAGGTAGTAAGTAGCCCCTGATCTGCCCTTGCATTTTTTAAAAGATCTTAGATACAGTTGACTTCCAGCAGGGTCAGGACTCCCAGCAAAGCCAAGGCCTTCTATACTGTCATAACTGATCAGAGGTATGAACAGCAGTCCCATGGTTAATTGGCTATTAACTGTATCACCGGTGGTTTTGAGTGAGCTCTCCCTTCCACCACCAGAAAGTATATAGCTGCAGCACGTGTGTGTATAGATAAATGCACTTCCAGAGAGATGCATGCTTTTCAACTGTTTCTCCTCGCCCTCTTGCTATATCTCTGTGTTCCTTATGCTTTGTTTCATTGATTGCTTTGGGTCTGGGGGCACAAGAGGGTTATCTGATCCAATAACTCTCTCTTCACCAATTCCTTGTTGTAGACTATTGGGGAGAGTCTTATTACAGTGGCCTCATCGACTTGCATCTGGGTGGTATGTATAGCAGCGTCTGTTGCTGGCACTAACCCTGCTGACCCCCTCTCCCCACCCGCTATCCCCAGTTCCTGCTCACAAACAACAAGAAGAAATCAACCTGATAACCAAATGGCAAAAGCACAGGCCCTTTTCCAGCTCATACTAGAGCAGCATGCTGGATCCTCCACACTGTCG